CGAAGTTCAATCGCTTGTAGAGATTTAGACAAGAAGATAATGAAGAACGGAACAGTAAAACTCCTGTCAGGTTATGACTCTGTCAAGGACAATTCTGTGAGAAAAGGATTGGGAATAAGAACAACTTACAGCAAACCTCGGGGACTCGGAGACTCCTCTGCAGTGATGGGCTGGGGTCCAGGCTCAACACTATTGGGAGGTGGTGGAACCTCAGAGGTGGGGCCTAGTGGGAGGCTTTGGGTCACTGAGGACATGCTATCGAAGGGGATTATGGGACCTCTGTTACTTCCTTCCTGTCTTCTGGCCCAGCCTGAGGTGGTAGCTGTCCTCTACCGTGAGCTCCCGCCATGATGTGCTGACTTCACCACAGGTCCAAAAGAAACACAGCCAACCAACCATGGGCGGAGTCCTCCAGAACCGTGAGCCAAGCAAGCTCTTTCTCTTCATAAAGTGATCATTTTAGGTGTGTGAGAATGATGAACACTGACACAGGATCAGAAGAGTTGTGGTCAGTGGCTGTCCTGTGCATTGTAGGATATTCAGTGGCTTCGCTGGCTACTGCCCACTAGTTATTAGCATTTCCCCCCTCCCTATTTGTGCCAACCAAAAGCATATCCGCAGGCATTTCTGAACTTGATTCCAGGACGTGCTCTATGCTGAGAATGTTTGAGTGGCGGCTAAAGCATGTGCACGTCTGCTATGGCTGTTGGACCTTGGAAAAAACAGCAAACTTCTATGTGCCCACTTCTTTGGCTTTCATACAAGCACATCACTGTGCTGAAAAGACGTACTGAGCTTATAATTAAAGAGGCGATTCAGCACTGTGCCTGGCCCTCAGAGGCACTCAGTCAGATGACATTCTGTCTTTGATTACATTGTGCAAGGAAGGAGAGCCATGCCCTGTGCAGGTGAGGAAACCTACCCGGCTCTGGAGATAAAGGGTGTGAGGTGACATCAGGGGCCGGCCTGTGGGTACCAGGCCTTTCTTAACAGATACCTAAGGGCCTAGAGAACTCCCCCCACCCACCCACCCTGGACTTAGAGCTGGAGGTGTTGTACTGAATGCATTATTGCATCCATCAACCTGGGACAGGGGAATTCAGTGAGATCATGGTCTTGGCAGGAAACTTAAGGGAACCCCAAACAACTCAGTATACATGGCAAATAGTTTAATGCAATATTTTGTAAAAACCAAAATGTATAAGGGAAAACTCCTTTGCAAAGTATGGACTTTTTAAAGACACATGCAACCTTGCACTTGCACTTGCCCTAGCCTCACACACTGCACCTGATCCAGCCCAAGTGGTTTTCCGGTGATCTCTTATTTTGCCCTTCCCGTTTTGGGGTGGTCTTGGATCTTGTGGGGAGTGTGATGAGCAACTCTCTTTTATACATTTGGGGCTTTGGGAACATTTTCTGCTGTTTGTTTTTACTTAGATTTATGAGCCGTAATCTCCGTGTATGAGGTCTGGTCTCGGGGGTCTCCTGAGGGTGCTCTAGTGCGCACCTGCGCCTGTGTGCCTCTGGGCATCTTTTCTCTTTGGACACCTGATTTTGCCACCTGCTCGCTAGCGTCAGGGGCAGCAGCTTTGGACCACAGAAGCAGGAGTTACGGTGGGCCTCGATGGGTGGGCCTGTCTGGTCTGAGCTGGTTCTCTCTGCCTCTGTCTCGGTGTTGCTGGGGTCTGCAGGTCTGACACCGCTGAGCGGGAGTCACGCACACCCTGCCGGCTCCGAGGTGGACGGGGAGGAAACAGCGCCCTCTTCTGGCCGACGAAGAGCCCGTTCCCCTCCTGGGGCTGAGCTCGCTTTGCGATGAGGGCAGCATCTCAGCGCCAGGACCATTTTCCTCCCGACCCGGTCCAGAGGACGCCAGGTGAAGAGGGGCAGGCGGGTCAGGGGACCCACTGCAGCACTGGCCGCACTACGCTGGGTCCAGTGCCTTTCTGTCGTTGCCGTCTGCGCACACGTGCGGGAAGACGCGTTGCTGCTTCTGCAGGGACCCTCAAGCCACCTGTGAGCGTCGAGCTGGCCGTTCCAGCTGACCACTAGGGGGCGCGGGCACGAGCCGGGCGAGGCCGAGCCGCTCGTCCAGTGGGTGTGGGAGGTGGGGGATCGGGCTGCCTGCCTGCCTGAGGTCTCCCACTAACGGCTTCGTAGTGTTAGGGCTTCATTGTATTTAGTTATGCTTAATTTTTTTATTTTAAAATAATCTCAAATGTGCCTAAAAATCAGAAAAAATAGTATAAAGAACTCATACACCCTCTACTTAGAAACTACGAGGAATATTTTGCCACTTTTCCCTTGGTTTCCTTCATACGCTTATTATTTTGTTCCATTCAGGAGTAAGTTGAGACATTGTCTGTCTTTACCCTGAGTACTTCAGAGTATATTTCTCAAGAACAAGTGTATTTTATTTATTTTATTTTTTTATTTTTTTATTTTGTTTTTTTTTTCTGGTACCAGGGATCGAACTCACAACCTCGTGCTTGCCAGGCAGGTGCTGTACCGCTGAGCTAAATCCCCAGACCCGAACAGGTGTGTTTTCTTACAGAGCCACAGGACTATTATGAAAACCAGCAGGTTTAACAACGGTGTCATGTTATTACCTAATCAACAAATCTGACAGTCACGTTTCAATCACATCCTTTATAGCAGGTGTCTTTTCTTCTGCTCCAGGACCCAGCCCAAGGTTACACACGGACTTTGCAGCCTGAGTCTATTTCTCCTGTACTCTGAGCCACTGCGCAGTCATCTCTTCATGAAAGTCACCTTTCATGACCTTGACGGTACAACTCATGTAGTTCAGTCTCCTTTAGTCTGAGTTTGTCTGAAGTTCCAGTTAATTGGCTAGGTGCTGCCTTTGGGATAGGGATGGTGCTTATTGAGTATGTCTCTGGAATTTCTTAAACAAGTGACTCATGCACTCCCACTGTGGCAGGGTGACTCTGAGACACAGGAAGTAGACACAGGAAGTAGATTATGACTTAGAAGTTCCTAACCGTAGCTGGCGTTTACTGAGTGCTTGTTCTTTCTGCACTGGGTGATTTGGGGGTGTTCTCCTCTTGGAGCAGTGTGGTGTGGGTGCTTCTGCTGGACCACAGCAAATAGAGAGCAACAGTGGCTTCAGGCACCGAGCTGTATCAGGTCCTGCATTTCACACCCTCTTCACATGAACTAGGTCCTTCAGCCCTCACCACCCTCTGCATACTGGGAGCTGAGCCTCTGAGTGGGCCAGTTACCTGCCCCTGGCCTTACAGCAATGAGAGGCACAGCAGGACCGCTGGACACTACAGTGTGGGCACCTGGTCTGCACCCCGCATCACCGATCCATTTAAATCCTCCTACTCATGCAGGCAGGGTGAGGAGAGCAGGTTTAGCGGAAGGAGGCATTCCTCAACCCAACAGTGGCTCACAGTGACTCACAGGCAGGCATCCCCCTCCCAGGGCAGGGTCTCCCCTCCAGAGGGAGAGCATGCCGCCAAGTCATCTCCAAACCAGATTAGTTGCAGGTTAGCGCCATTCATAGCCCGTGGTCTTAAGAAGTGAGCCCTGGGGATTTGTTACAACAAGCAGCTTTGGGCCTGAGCCTTGGGGTAGTGTTGCATGGTGTATTTTTAGGAGATCTGGTATTAAGTCACTGAACAGTTCACTCTCCTCTTTCCCAGTAGATGGCGCCATGCACATGAGTCGGTATAAACATTTACCTGCTTGTCTTTTCCTACCTCCAAGGCCCAAGTGAAAGCAATTAGCTCAGCTATCTGAGCTGATGTCCCAGGAGGCAAAGTCTCACACTGGACAGTTTATTCAGTGGTGACAAGCTTTGTGCCTGCCCTCTGAACCTCATCGATTACCGTGCTGCTGCCATCTAAAAGCAAGGTCAGGTCAGGGTTCTGGAGGATACGCCCTGTAGATCCAATCGGGCCAAGTAGATTTTCTTGATTGCCTCCATGCAATCATGTTGAGGCGACTCCAGGGACACAGGCAAAAGAGAGGCAGGATTGAGGGCCAGTTAGGGATCCTCAAGGAGAGTCCCTTGACAGTGGGTCAGCCTGGTCCCTGACAGCCACTTACCGCCAGGTCCCCTCAGCAAAGTCTCCACTGCATGGGGAACAAACACAGGTAGCTTTTGTCCCAAAGTCAGTTTGTCAGCTTCCTTTACCAGAATGGCAGTGGTGGCAGTAGCACACAGGCAGGAAGGCCATCCAGCCGCCACATATTCTAATCTCTTGGATAAATATGCTACCAGGTGCTTCCAAGTTCCCGAGGTCTGGATTAGGACACCCCGAGGAGTGCCCTGTCAGCATGTCTGTCAGTGTCAGCCATCAGGATGAGTCATGGCCATTGCTTGACCAAGTTGTTTTCTGTGAAAGCTTGGGAGATTTTTTTTTTCTTGATGACTCTCCTTAGGCACACTGTACACCATAGAATCACTTCTCTCTGTGGTCCCACAATCTCCTTGATCAGAAGATCAGGGACTCAAGTGAGTTATAGGATGTCGCAGCAGAGGTTCTCTCATCCCTGGGTCCTCATTGACCTTGGAGGGCTAGAGCCAAAATATTGGTCATCCCCTTAGCCCATTTATCTTAATTCTTGGTCTCCAAAACTCAGTTGTTGAACACCCAGAAGAGAAGATTAATGACCTTACATTGTAGTGGAAGCAGTGAACTTAATTTTTAAAATTTTATCTGAGTACTAAGCACCTTGAAATATAAAGTATAGCCAGAGAACTGTTATTACTTATCAACCATGAATGTTCTAGTAGTCAAATCTTTGTAGAATATTCACAGACAACAGTTATATAGTTTTACAGAGAAAATTTGAAATCAAAAGCCATATTGACTGTAACATAACAGTCATGATAACATTTTTGTAACACATTTAAATCGGCATCTTGAAATAGAATAGCCTTTTAGTCAATCATCTCTACCTAGTACATAAGAAGCTTTCACATAATTTGTTGTCCTTGTCTAGGAAATTTGTTACATTGTCTAGGCTGTTCAATGTCTAAGCATCTCTAAATGTAGTGGCACATACATAGCATACACATCACATAAGTGTTTCGTGGCAGGGAGGCCATGTTGCAGGGTTGGTCATGCCCCTCTGCTGCCCTTTGCCTGCCCCCAGCACCATGTCCATCATCCTGGGCACCTGGATGGAGCAGTCCTGGCATGACTTCTGGGAACCTCCTGACTTTCCCAGCCTCCAGCTGGTGCTGGCTTATGTGCAGCTGAGCATGCCTGGCTCGGACCTGGAGCACCACGCCCACTTCCTCCTGGCCCAGCTGCAGGACATGGAGCCCAACAAGGCTGAGCCTGAGGGTGAGGGGTGCTGGCTGGGAGCAGCAGAGCACAGGACCGGACTGTGTGCTGGGGCGTCCTTGGAGGAGGCTCTGGGGCTGGCATGGGGCCAGGAGCAAGGATGAGCCGCGGAGCTCTGGTCAGCGGCCCGCTGGCTGGGTAGACATCCTGTGGTGGGGTCAGTGGCACGGTTCCCTCGCAGGCAGGCACTGAGCCAGGATGGGCAGTCACGGTGAGTCTCTGGTCCCCTGCAGCTCTGTCACCACCTCCAGCACCAGGTGCCGCAGTGACTGCGGAGGAAGAGCCAGCTCCAGCATCGGCCTGTGAGCAAGGGTCCCCTTC